CGTTCGTTCGTTACAGTGTTGTTTTAGCGCGAGGATTGAGATTAAGTGTATCGCAGAGTTATATTCGGAAAGAATAAACCAGTTTTATTAAGTAAAGACTTGTGTCGTTAAAGTTTCGTTGGAACGAAGTTACGGAACATTAATTAACACACGGAGACGTAACAATGTATAACCAATAGAAAACCAAGTGTATTATTCTCCTTTTTCTGAATAGACAATATGTAGTTTCGGTTTCAGTTTCACTTTTGTTTCCATAGGAAGTATATGAACCAGCTTTGTTTAATTTCTAACGACATTTGGGGCATAGTTAAAAAGCCAGAAAATTTTTAATAGTTATGGGACATATTCTTCTTTTTGCATGTTATTATTCTGTGTTACTTGGGGAGCATCATTTAATTAAGTAAATAATTATTTAGTGCAGTAGTATCATTAGTATAAAAAGTAGGATTAAATGGAATACCTATTATTGTAGAATATATCTGGTTGACTTCAAGTATACAAGAAAAAAAAAATGGCAGTGCGCGCGCGAACGTGTTTTCTTGTTATACACATTAAATTTACCCTATGTATGTAGAATTAAATTGTGGAGGAGAGCAAACTAGGGGGGGGGAGACAAGAAAAATTTGCTCCTCCTGTAGCGTCGCCACTGTCTCTTCTAGGTATTAACACTTTGATATTTTTCATCCTCAGGTTTTTAATATTAACACTTTGATTTTCTGATCTTCAGTTCCTAAATATTTATACTTTAATTTTTCATCTTCATTTCCTAAATATTAATATTTTTATTTTTCATCTTCAGTTTCTAAATATTAAGGCTATGATTTTCTCCTTTTTGAACATTAATATGTTGATTTCCTAATCTTCAATTTATAGATATCAAAGTCTTACTTGAATCATTACGAAAGTTGACTTGTTTAACTTCTACATTGAATTTTTCCTGGAAATAAAAAAAGTATTTCAAAATATAAATTTTATTTTAGTTAATACTGCAAATATACATATATAAATTATTTTAATTAATTATAAAAAAAAGAAGACCATTAGTTTATAAAATTAACTTAATAATTTACGATATGTCTCTTAAGTTATCAAAATTTACAATATTATTATCTCTTTTAATTACTTCGATAATTTAGCTGATTCAAACAAAGGAGTGCGTAAGTCAGTAAGCAATAAGAAAACATTAACAACTCCTTTTATCCCCTAATATTTCTGTTAATTATAATTATTTTCAATAATATAGTCATCCTGTCGTTTGAAGTTTCTGTTGTTTTAATCAAATATGTATAGCATATACGACTGTTTTTTGTCAAAAGTTAACTAATTATATAGATCAGAAACAAAATTACTGAAAACGTAACATAAGTTAAGCCTACCACTGTTAAGCCTAATACAAGCTACTGCCTATTCAAACTCAATTTCTCAGGAAATAAACCTCAAGATAAAAACAACATTTCACAAAGAGCAAGACTTAATAAAAATAATTAACTATTTGATACTTAATTTTATTTAATTAGAAAGTTCGCAGAAAACTATGGATGGGTGTCGGTGCTTAGCCAGTCAACAATATCCATCGCCAATGTTTAGTTAGGCTAGTTTTATCTATCGAATAGTGGTATTCGACCGCCATATTTATATTGCACCTACGATCCTGTTTGGTTAATATTTTGATAAGGTGATTACCAGAAAGGGTTACATGGTAAAATAAAGCTCTTCAGTTTAGAGGTAAGGAAAAGAGAAAAGAACTACCACAAGGATAAGACCTGGAATTTTCAACTTGAACGACACCTTATACGAACGTGGTTTAAACGATCAGGTTAAAAGGCCTGGTAAAGCTCTCCATAATTTCGAACTTATGTCCATAAGTATGGCTTTGTCGGCTCCTTCAACTTAATAATGGAAATTACTGTCACTCTTATAATTTCAACCCAAACTTAAAGTCCGAAACGTTTTCAACAGCATCATGTGTCTCAAAACCTGAACCCTTTAAATTGCAAACCAGTACATTAACAGCAACATCATGTGTATCAAACCCTGGAATCTTAAACTTGAAACCCATTACGTTAACAATAGTATCATGTGTCTCAAACCCTGGAATCTTAAACTTGCAACCCATTACGTTAACAATAGTATCATGTGTCTCAAACCCTGTAATCTTAAACTTGCAACCCATTACGTTAACAATATTATCATGTGTCTCAAACCCTGGAATCTTAAACTTGCAACCCATTACGTTAACAATAGTATCATGTGTCTCAAACCCTGAAATCTTAAACTTGCAACCCATTACGTTAACAATAGTATCATGTGTCTCAAACCCTAGACTTTTCACCTTGTTACCCTTTATGTTAACAGCAACATCATTCATCAACCTTACGAAATCAGATAACACAGCTACATAATGGACATCAACTTCAACAAAACAAATAACACAACTATAGACTCGACACCAACCTGACGAAAACCAATATGTTAAGATCACAAATCCCACACTATCATCGCCTAAAAAAAAAATGTATACACTACATATCCGACACTAGTTTTACCAAAACCTCTATGTTTACACTACATATCCGAACTAGTTTTCCCAAAACCTCTATGTTTACACTACATATCCGAACTAGTTTTACCAAAACCTCGTATGTTTACACTACATATCAGACACTAGTATTACCAAAACCTCTATGTTTACACTACATATCCGACACTAGTATTACCAAAACCTCTATGTTTACACTACATATCCGACACTAGTATTACCAAAACCTCTATGTTTACACTACATATCCGACACTAGTATTACCCAAACCTCGATGCTTACACTACATATCCGACACTAGTATTACCAAAACCTCGATGCTTACACTACATATCAGACACTAGTATTACCAAAACCTCTATGTTTACACTACATATCTGAACTAGTTTTACCAAAACCTCGATGTTTACACTACATATCCGAACTAGTTTTACCAAAACCTCTATGTTCGACATTTTTCAGAATCTATCTACTATACAAAGACGACAGTTCCCACTATTCGTTTCAACAATCCATAGGAGCTGTTTCTGTTGGCTTGACCTATATATTTTTGTATGGAATAGTATGAAGACCCTTTTCATTCTCCAGTTGCTTCATGTATATGACAGTTGAATGGATATGTCATGAAAGCAGCTTGTGTTCATAACTTGGGTGGTATTCCACACGGACATTCTTCCTAATTGTGTTGTGTACTGTTACCCTTTTATACGTAGATGGCTTTTTCCACTGCCCTTTGTGTTCGTGGATTTTCACCTGTTATAATAGTCTGCTCATTAGTTTCCACGTCTAAGGTACAAACCATTGTAGATCTCTTTCTGGGTGGTCTGGTACCCTAAGTTGATCCAAGTTCCTGTGTTTTCTTAATGTCATTCAGTACAAAGAAAATTCTTGGAAATTCTAAATTCCTGATCTCAGTAGATCGTTATAATCTTAGTGTACAATTATTTTGTACAGGAAAAAGGGTTGTTACATACCTTTCCTAAAAGCGGCCATATCTTAGAGGTATCACCTTACCTACGAAGGCCAAACCTTGTGAAGATGTAATGTAACGTACACAACACTCTGTACGTGATTTGCTTCTCTCTATATCTGACGTCTACTTCTCTTCGTATCTGAAGTCGAATTCCACTGACACAAATATTTTAAGAACAGCAAATTAAGGTTTTAACTAATCTGAACCTTTATTCTCGGAAAAGTATTGATATCTTGGTTGGATGTCGAAATTATACACTATAGATCCAAATAGATATAGCAACAATATTTAAGGATGTTACATTGTAGGTTCAGGCAAATACAGTAAAAATATTGAAGGGCTTTACATTGTAAATTCCAACAGATAATGGCATAATACTTTAAGGATGCCATATATTAGATCCAGGTAGAGAGAACCACCTCCACCCATTAAGACCGACCATAATCCCAACTAGTTTGAAGTCGGCCAGTATTTTGTAAACCAAGGATTTTTACACCCGGGTGGCTGGCCTAGTCGGTAACCATGTGGGTCGAGCATGTTAAGCAACGGGGATTCGAACCTCCGAATTGCAAGTCGAGCACCTTAATCACCATGTCATGCTAGGCCTGATAGAAAAAGTAACAGTATTTAAAGATGCCAAATAAAGATATCTAAAGCTGTGACATTCAGATAAGTTACTGTACATGTGTTACCATATGTTACTGTACATATGTTACCATATGTTACTTTACATTTGTTACCATATGTTACTTTACATATGTTACCATATGTTACTTTACATTTGTTACCATATGTTACTGTACATATGTTACCATATGTTACTGTACATATATTACCATATGTTACTGTACATATGTTACCATATGTTACTGTACATATGTTACCATATGTTACTGTACATGTGTTACCATATGTTACTGTGCATATGTTACTGTACATATGTTACCATATGTTACTTTACATTTGTTACCATATGTTACTGTACATATGTTACTTTACATATGTTACCATATGTTACTGTACATATGTTACCATATGTTACTTTACATATGTTACCATATGTTACTGTACATATGTTACCATATGTTACTTTACATATGTTACCATATGTTAGTGTACATACCACAATCTGTAATTCCACAAAATACCTGAAGTTTCTTTGTTTTAAGATATTTTTGTTGTAACAGTGTTAGAAACGTAACTTGGTAATATGAAAAGTATTTCAAAAATGTATCGTTCTGTTGTTTTTTTTTTCACTTACTCCATTCTTTCCTAGTGTAAATGAAAATGTTGTCCAATTCTTCAAGTTTTCAAGTGCCCGAGAGTTGGATACGTCATCTTTTATAGTTCCTACCTTAACTTCAGAGAAATACAGTTTCAACCAACTAATAGATTACAACAAAAACTTAACATTCCAGCAAAGCTAAAAACATTAATAACATTTTTGTTTGCACAATAAATTAAACTTTTTAGTATTAACAGAAACTTAACTCTTCATACAACTACAAGATGGAAAACATTATAAGAACAAGAAATACGCTACGAATTTACATTAATAGTGAATTATTCATTTTCTTCTTTGATATTTTGTGTTTATAAGATCTAAAGTAAATGAAAGACGTTTTAAGTATTTTGTTATTGAACTTTATAACTGAAACAACATAATTGAAATGTAATATTTTATTGCATGTTAGTCCTTAGATGTATAGAGTAAAATTATATATTAAAAATAATGTTCTCTCAGGAACATTCTAAATATATTCAATAACACAAGATTGGACGAAGTATAACCAGTGAAAGAAGTGGGCAGGAAAATAGCGGTCAGGGAACATAACACTGAACGAAGTATAACCAGTGAAAATAGAGGTCAGGGAACATAACACTGAACGAAGTATAACCAGTGAAAATAGAGGTCAGGGAACATAACACTAACCAAACTATAACCAGTGAAAATAGAGGACAGGGAACATAACACTAGCCAAAATATAACCAGTGAAAATAGAGGACGGGGAACATAACACTAGCCAAAATATAATCAGTGAAAATAGAGGTCAGGAATATAACACTAGACGAAATATAACCAGTGAAATAAAAAAACATAGAGTATAACACCAGACGAAATATAACCAGTGAAAGGAGAGGACAGGAAAATATCACTTAACAAAGAGAAAACAGGGAAAGAAGAGAATGTGGAACATAACACTGGACGAAGTATAACCAGTGAAAATAGAGGTCAGGGAACATAACACTGAACGAAGTATAACCAGTGAAAATAGAGGTCAGGGAACATAACACTGAACGAAGTATAACCAGTGAAAATAGAGGTCAGGGA